ACTTCCTAAAATTATGAATGTTAATAGTTTAACTAATTCTATAAGAAAGAAACGTCACCTCACAAAATCCTGATATCTTATTGATTTCGATATATGGGTTTTGTATTTAGTTTTAAAAGCTTACAATAAGCACAATATGTTAATTTGTATTAGCATAACTCACAACAGTATGTAAGTAAGTCTATAATCTCTAAACTTCTTTATAGGAAACAACTTAAAAGATTAAGCTGAATGTAACATGCTTGTATTATTCTATAAAAAATGAACAACAAAGAGGATATCGCAATTATATAAGGACCATGAATATACTATAGTTTTATCTATATCATTATTAAATAATTTTATAATTTTGTATGTATAATATTTTGAAGAAATAGTACATCATTGAAGGGTAATATGATCTATCAACATTACAAAAAGATATGTTCATCCATAAATAGTTGCTTGTGTTATAATATTTTTGCTTTTGGAGACAAAGACACATTAACTATAATTTTATAAAGAAGCAAGGATGGTTCGTTTCTTACATTGAATTATATGAAATTGGCACTTTCCCAAAAAAAAAAAAAATTAAATTATGTGTTCAATATAAAAACATAACATTCTTAAAAATCAAAATGTTAGGAGTAATTAAAAAGGTAAATAAACAATAGTTTTTGTTTGATAAGTATCAAAGTTGCCGAAAATTTGGAATTGCAAATAATTGATTCCTTCTTGAAAAGATTCTTTTCTCCTTTATTTAACCTAGATTTTAGAAATTAAAGGCAATTTGATTCCTTCTTGAAAACTATTTTTCTCATTTATTTATGGTAGGAATTTTAGGGTATCATTTTACCTTTTATTATTTATAATTTGTGAATATTCTATTTTTCTTTTAACCGTGTAAATCAAAGTGTATTTCATAATTTATTTTACATTTCTTTTTTATAAAAATTTGGAATTGCTAAATACTCTAAAGAAAACTATGTTCCTTTTTAAAAAGACAATTTTCTTTTTATTTACATTTAGGACACTTTTTTTTCTAAAAAAATATTTCAAAGAAATCAAATTAATAAAAAAATTTGTTAGAGGCCAATGGCTACCGCTTGGTTGTTAGAAACGGACATATTTCAAAGGCAAAAGTAGATACAGTTTCTTTCTCGTGCATTTTGAAGGAATTATAATTTAATTCACATTTGTTTTTTCCCTTAAATTTAGGAGTAAGTTTTTAATGGGAAAAAGGATCTAGAAAGTCAAAGTTGTTTATTTATAGAAAATTTTTGTTTGATTTTACAATCGTACATATTAAGAGAATAATTAAATTACAACTTTGTCTAATATAAAAACTACTTTTAAAGGGTAAAAAAGACGAACAACATTTCACTAAGGGCCTTCGTGCTTTTAATATAGTATAGATAACTTTCAAGTTTGGTAATAAAAGTTTTTATTTACCAAAACAAAAACATGTTAACATGTCAACACATTCCATTATTCCGGGAGGTTTTTTGGTAGGCCGGTGAAAGAGTTAAGTTTATGGAGACAAACAATATTAGACAAAGTAGTAGACAATATATAAGAAGCAAAGTAAAATTCTGAAGAGCTTAAATTTAAAAAGTTTCTTAATACAATGACCCGAATCAATATAGATCTCAATGATCTTAATTAGATATCAAATGCAAAACATAAAATATAATAAATAATACATGTACTTTAGGGCTGAGGTAGAACAATAATGGGAGACGCTCCAAACAAGAGTATGCTAAGAAGTTGAAAGCAAGGAAATGATAGTAACTATTTTGGAGGCGAATGACTTGAATATTAGTAGTAGGTTGGTGGAGGTGACGGTGATGGAGGTGGAGGTGAACTGTAAGTGGGAAATTGCTCGTACTTTTCAGGTGGGGGAGGTGAGGCATAGGTAGGAGTTTGCTTATTGTAATTTGTCGATGGTGGTGGTGGTGGTAGTGATTTGTAATATGATGGTAATTGCTCGTAGATTTTTGGTAGAGGTGGTGCACTGTACGTTGTAGGTAATTGCTCGTAATATTTTGGTGGTGGAGGTGGAGACTTGTATGAAGGTGACTGTTCGTAATATTTTGGTGGAGGTGGGGGAGATTTGTAAGAAGACGATGATTGCTCGTAGTATTTCGGTGGGGGTGAAGGTGACTTGTAATAGGAGGGTGAATGTTCATAGTATATTGGAGGGGGTGGAGGTGACTTATAATAAGAAGGCGATTTCTCGTAATACTTTGGTGGTGGCGGAGACTTGTAGTAAATTGGTGACTTGTAATATTTTGTTGGTGTTACTGGCTTGTTGTATTTCGCAGGAGCAGGTGATTTGTAATATTTTGTTGGTTTAGGTGCTTTGTAGTAATCAGGCTTCAAAGGTAGAGGTGATTTGTGAACGTTTGGTGAATGGCTATGGTACTTCGATGGCGAAGGCGACTTGTAATAGTGTGAAGGATAATGTTTGTAAGAGACCGTTACTTGGGCATGGTACTTTGACGGCGAAGGTGACTTGTAGTACTTAGAGGGCGAGGGAGAAGTGTGGCCATAAGAGTAAGCAGCAACAACAGTAGTTGCTGTGAGCATGTGATTTTTGTCATGTTTAATTTACTCCTACAAATCCATTAAATTAGGATTTTTCCTTTAATTATTTGATTTCTAGGAATTAATTGCATAAGTTTGGTGTCTTGTTTGCATTTTTTGTCTGCGCATTTTTATTCAAAAAATAAATATAAAAAATATATGTTGCATTTTAATTCATAAAAATACAAAAAAAATGTGTAGCATTTTAATTCATAGACAATACAAAATATGTTGCATTTTTTGCATTTAGGCATTTAATTTCACAATTCTAGTATTAATTAGGTATTAATTTAGTTTTAAAATAAAAAGAAAATTGCAAAAAATAGAGTTTTGAATATTTTAAGGAATACATAGTCTAATTATGTCCTTGTTTTAGCATAAACAACAAATAAACAAATATAGAAAAATACAAAAAGAGAAAAAGAAAGAAAAAGAATTAATAGAGTTGGTCTTGTTAAAAGACCCAAAATTTGGGCCAAAATACAATTCTAGCCCAAAAGAGGACCCAAAATTCGGCCAAGACCCAGCCCAAATATCCCTGATCCGGTCCAGTTTCCCTTACCACCAAAACGACGTCGTTTTGTTTATGATTAATCCTAGCCGTCTATGTTTCTTGATCCAACGGACGGGAACCCCCTATGCTTTAATATATAAGTGTCCTAACCATACCCCACCCCACCCCATTCACTCATCTCTCTCACACCCCACTCCTCTCCCCACCGGAAATCCTTACCTCCACAGCCCCACCGTATCTCCGCCCCCTTCCGCCTTCCGCCGCCCCGCTCGCCGCCGGCCGGAAATCGCCTCCGCCGGCGGCGGTGCTCCAAATAACCCAAAAAATACACCATGGAATCCTCTCATCATCCTCTTTCCGACCCCCAACCTAATTTCCCTCAAATCACAACCAAAATGCTCGGATTTCAAATCTAAAATCCGGCCAAAACCCTATCTTCTCCAAACTCAACCAAATTAACACCATACACTCTCCTTACCCTCTTCTTCCCGAATCTCAAGTTAATTTTCTTCAAATCTAACCAGAGTTGCTCGAATCCCGGATCTAGGGTTCCGGATGGGGTCTTTGGGGCTTCAGTGGGTAATTGATCCTTATATGATGATATTTGCCTATTTTTGGCAAAGAATAGGCAAATAACATCATTTGGGGATCAAGTTCGAAGGCGTTTGAGTTCGATTGTAGATTCGCGTAAGTTTTTCTTGTATTTTTCTTTTACTGTTTTTGCTTTACTTTTTTTTTTTAGTTATTATTGATTTTTCCCAGTATATAGTTTAGGGAATTTCAGTAGAATTGATTCTGTCTGATTTTTCTGTCTGTTCTTAAAATTTGCTTTCTAGTTTTGATTTCTTTTTAGTCTTCTCAGAATTAATTTTGATTCAGTATGATTCATATTTTCGAGTGTTCGATTCATGATATGATTCCTGTTTAATTGTTATTTGCCCAAATAGTTTGTTAATTGGAACCGATAGGGATTAATTTAGGATTAAGAATAAGTTTAGTTTAATTTTGTTAATTGAAGTGTTGTTTGGTTGTTGCTGAATACTTCCAGGCCGTATTAGTTAACCATGATCATTGTTAACCAAGTTCAAAGGTTTAGGGTTAGTTTGGTATGGTTTAGCAATTCAGGGAGTAGTCAGGGTTAATTCGGGCATAGAAAAGGGTAGTTTTATTAGGAATAGTAATTTTAAAAGTAGGGAAAGGGTAGTATAGGAATTACAGTGGGTGTAGGACCTTCTAGAATAGACTTTAGTATAGTTTTCAATAAATAGGTGTTGTTACTTGGATAACAAGTTTAAAAATGAGGGACTGAAAGTTAAAAGGAGAGGGACTAAAGGGAAAAACAAAATCTGAAGAAAGCTTTACATTTTTGCCTATAAAAGGCACACACATTGCCTTGTTTAGCAAGTTTGGAGACCCCTGAGAATTTTCCAAAACCTTCCAGCTCCAGTTTTCCCCGAATATACATTTTCTGCAAGTTTAAGATCTGAAATTCGAACTTCAGATTCAAATACAGCAAAGAAACTTAACAAAAAAAAATATACTGTTTTATTGTTTGGGCCTGTTCGAGTTATGTCCAGTTGACTTATTGCTCCCTTTGGTTTTCGAACTATTTCCTGGTTTGATTTCAAGTAGATTTAGCTGCTCAATCAGATTTTGGTTCTGTTTAACTGGTTCCTCATTGCTGGATTTTTAAACTTACTCGCTGTGATACTGCTGACTTGAACTGCTGCTGACCCCTCTTCTCCTTGTTTATTATAAACTCCAGGTACTTTCCCCTAACTCAGGAGATCTGGTAA